GGGTCGGGCCGGGGGGGAGTTCCCGTCTTGAGCCAAAATGGCTACGCAAGAGGAGGAGGAGGAGGAGGAGGAGGAGGAGGAGGAACGGAAGGAGGAGAAGGAGGAGGAAGAGGAGGAGGAGGAGGAGGAGGCGGAGGAGGAGGAGGAGAGGAGGAGGAGGAGGAGGAGGAGGAGGAGGAGGAGGAGGAGAGGAGGAAGAGGAACGGGAGGGGGGAAGGAGGAGGAGGAAAACGGAAATGAGGGGGAGGAAGAAGGAGAGGAGGAGGAGAAGGGAGGAGGAGTGGAGTGAGGAGGAGGACGGAGGAGGAGGAGAGGAGGAGGGAGGAGGAGAGAGGAGGGAGAGGAGGAGGAGGAGGAGGAGGAGGAGGAGGAGGAGGAGGGAGGAGGAGGAAGGAGGAGGAAGAGGAGGGGAGAAGGAGGAGGAGGAGGAGCAGGAGCAGGAAGCAGGAGAGGAGGAGGAGAAGGAGGAGGAGAGCAGGAAACAGGAGAAACAGGAGGAAAAAGAGGAGCAGGAAGGAGCAGGAGGAGGCGAGGAGGAGGGAGGAAGGAGGAGGAGGAAGAGGGGAGGAGGGAGGAGGAGGAGGAGGAGTGGAAGAAGAGGGGAGGAGGAGAGGAGGAGGAGGAGGGGGGAGGAGGTAGGAGGAGGAGGAGGAGGAGGAGGAGGAGGAGGGAGGAGGAGGAGGAGGAGGAGGAGGAGGAGGAGGAGGAGGAGGAGGACTGGAGGGGGGGAAGGGCAGGACGAGGTCTCGGGTCCCACCTGCGCCAGTCTTCCCTTATCGTTGCCCCTCAGGGGGTGGGCGGCCGCGCTGCCGCAGACGCCCACGCGGGCGCGGCCGTGGCCGAGCTGCGGCGCCAGCTGGCGGTGGAGGAGCAGAGGAGGGCGAAAGCAGACAACATGAGGAGAGGGAGGAGGAGGCGGAGGAAGAGGAAGAGGAGGAGGAGGAGAGGAGGAGGAGGAGGACGAGGAGGCGGAGGATGATGAGGAGAGGAGGAGGAGCAGAGGAGAAGAGAGAGGAGGGGAGAGGGAGGAGGAGGAGGAGGAGGAGGAGGAGGAGGAGGAGGAGGAGGAGGAGGAGGAGGAGGAGGGAGAGAGGGAGGAGGAGAGGAGGAGGAGGAGAGGAGGAGGACGGAGAGGAGGAGGAGGAGGAGGAGGAGGCGAGGAGGAGGAGGAGGAGGAGGAGGAGGAGGAGGAGGAGGAGGAGGAGGAGGGGAGGAGGAGGAGGAGGAGGAGGAGGAGGAGGAGGAGGAGGAGGAGGAGGAGTGGAGGAGGAGGAGGAGGAGGAGGAGGAGAGGAGGAGGAGGAGGAGGAGGAGGAGGAGGAGGAGGGGAGGAGGAGGAGGAGGAGGATGAGGAGGAGGAGGAGGAGGAGGAGGAGGAGGAGGAGGAGGCGGAGGAGGAGGAGGAGGAGGAGGAGGTAGAGGAGGGGAACGAGGAGGAGGAGGAGGAGGAGGAGGAGGGAGAAGGAGGAGAAGGAGGAGGAAGAGGAGGAGAGGAGGAGGAGGAGGAGGAGGAGGAGGAGGGGAGGGGAGAGGGGGAGGAGTGACAGGACGAGGTCTCGGGTCCCACCTGCTCCAGTCCACCTTTCTCGTTGCCCCTCAGGGGGGGGGCGGCCGCGCTGCCGCAGACGCCCACGCGGGCGCGGCCGTGGCCGAGCTGCGGCGCCAGCTGGCGGTGGAGGAGCAGAGGAGGGCGAAAGCAGACAACATGAGGAGAGGGAGGAGGAGGCGGAGGAAGAGGAAGAGGAGGAGGAGGAGGACGAGGAGGAGGTGGAAGTGGAGGGGGACGGTGCAAGTGGTCAGAGGAGGGCGAGTTGAGACAAGTGTAGTTGGCCGTTGGGGGGGGGGGCGTCGCCACGGCGGGACGCAGCTGGGTGAATTGGTGCGTTTGGATTTCCGGCGGGGTCCGGGGACCGATCCTGAGTTGCCGGTGCCGCAGCTCGCCCTGCCCCGAGAGGAGGCCGTGGAGGCTGGGCTGAGGGCAGACACGTACCGCCGCACGGCGGCTCTCGCCGAGGGGACGGCGGGGATGTACGCCGAGCTGCGCGTGTCCTCGCATCGTCATCATTGTCTTGCGGCGTCGCCGTTAATTACTACTGCCATTGTTTCGGCTACTCCCGCTACCACGGTGATGTTGTTAATTCTTAGGTGGTTCGACATTGTTGTTGCCATCTCTCTGGTGCAATCTATGTGGTGCGATGAATTTTAAGAGCGCTGGAGTTGTCAGCTCCACTGTTTGCGTAATCTTCTCACCCGCCCGCCCGCAAGTTGGTTTGCAAAAGCCACGCGGCGGCGACTGCGATGAGTGTTTGGCGTTGGCTAGTGCATCTCTGCGGCCGCGCTAGCCTGGGCATGCTCGCGCGCACAGCGGCCAGCTAGTTTGGCGCGACCAACGCGGCCGCGTTGGCGCTGACCGCTAGGCACTTCCCAGCGCGTCTCGCAGGCCGCGCTGATGCGCGGGCATTTTTTCAGTGCGAGTCGGTGATTCGGGCGGGCGCGGTATCGCGGCGACGTCGACAACGGCAGACACGATCATGATTGCAGAGATTCGGGTGACGGCGATGGCGACGACGACGGTCAGGCAAGTGACGACACCGATGATTATCACGTGGTGGTGTCCACGCGTCGGTGATGACGATGTTGGAAGGATTTCGACATGCGCGTGTGGCCGAAAGGCGCAAATGGTATTACTTGACAGCGGTCGTCCCCCGCACGCGCACGCGCGCAAGGGTGTTGGAATGATTTCGACATGCGCGCGCGAGAGGCCCGTCTGGTAGCACTTGGTGAGAATGTCGGACGATGATTTTTTTCAAATGTAAGAACGCGGGTGCATACTTATTGAAAACTGTTGTTGCAAAACCATGTGCACCTTTGCAAACCATCGTGTTCGGGAAGGTCGGTTTTGGATCCATCACGAAACCCAGGTTTGTTCAAGGATTTAGGCATGCGCGCGACGTCGCGCGCGTGCGCACTTCGTCCCATATGTTGCAACTGATTATTGAGCATGCCTGTTTCTTGGATAAGCGAGTGCGAACGTAGTGCTTTGCAGACGGTAGCGGGGTGGACGGGGGGGGTGGATACCAGCTGGGCTGCGATGGTGTGGATTCACAATTCGTTAGAACCGACGATGGGGTAGAATCGTGTCTAAAGTACAATCCCTAACGCGTGCGGGTAATCATGGAGTTGTGGTGGTGGTGGTGGTAGAGTTTTATTCTCTTTGGCAAACCAGACGCTACGCGGTTCAACGTTTCAAAATACGGACTGCAGGCTAGGAGATGCAATAGATGTGTTGCCCCATTTGTGGTGCAAGGCCTGGGGTTCAATTTTTGGCCGCGTCAAGGCGTGGTCACTTCCAATACTCGTGCAGACACTCCACCCACCCACCAACAAGATGATGGAACAATTTATCAGGGCGGCGAGACCGGCGATAACGATGACGATAACAATACTCATGAAGCTTGTGGGGACGATGTCGTCGACGACGCTGGTAATGGTGATGGAGCTGATGGTGATGACAATGGCGGTGGTAATGACGACACGGGCGATGCTGATGAGGATGGTGTTGGTGTAGATGACGGCTCAGTGCGCACAGTAATTTCACAAAGGGTGACGACATCGACGACGATGGTGACGGTGGTGGTGTTCATGACGAACGTGGTGGCAATGATGATGGCGATGACGATTGCAGTAGCTCCGCTGGAGATGATCATGATTGCGCAGAAGAGGATGTTGTGAAAAGGGGTGCGCTAGGAGATTGTATTACATGTTATTGAGAGAGTTCGCATGTGCGACGATCATTGCAAAAAACGATGTGTTCTGTGGGGTTTCCACGTGCGCGCGCGGAAATGCGTTCGCACGTCGCCCGCACTTCAATGTTTGGAAAGGCTTGCGGGTGCGCGATGGTAGCTGAGAAATTCGACATGCGCCTGTAAGCGACGCGCGTGATCTCATTCGAACAACAACTGCTGAAACTTCACGTGCGCACAGAAACGTGGGAATGACGTGCGACAGATATCTGTTGTTGTTGATACGGTGCGAAGGGCTATATATGGTTAAGCTTCCAATGTGCATCATTGTTTTGATGTGTGCTCGCGGCTGAGCGCGCATGCGCCCAACATATCATTTGTAGCAGTGGATGATCAGCGAAGGTGTATGTCGCATAAGCGCGCACGCATCGTGTAGAATTATTCAGCAGGGATCAGGGAAGGGTGCCAGTACTGGCTGGCATGCGTGCCATATAATCTAGCCGCTCACCAATATGGTTGATTTTAGATATGTAAGCACAGGAGGGTATGGCCGCAAGGATGCCGCATGTGAGAATTCACAGTCCCGTGTGCTATCCGTGGCACGCGGCTCAAGCTCTTGAGGGGGTGGTCGGTCCCAGAGTCCCGCACGCGCATGCAGGCGCTGACCGAGGCCTTTACGGCTGAGGTAGCGCGGGCGGCGCAGACAGCCGCCGTGGTCTGGGGACTGTCGCGGCCGCCGCCGCCGTGCCCCGACTGCCACTGCTTGCCCCAGCTCGTGTGCGGCCCGGGGGAGGCGGTGAAGGAGCTGGTGCCCGTGGAGTGCAGCTGCCCGTTCCCTTGGGTGTGGTTCGTGTTCGGCCTGAGCATCGTGGGCGCGGCCGGCTTCGCGGCCGGGCGCCGCTGCGACCAGAAGGCCTGCACTGGCGACACGCCCAAGACAGACATCTCCCTTTCGATCGAGGACATCGCCCGTGAGCAGGCCGCTCGATTTCGTAGCCGCAGCCAGGCGACTCAACGTGTGAGCTGATGGCTAATCCCTTGGCCCACTTGGGCCTGTGGGAGGGCGACGTGATCGCCGTGCGGTACGGAGATGTGGGGCCCCGGATCTGGCATGAAAGGATCATCCTCTTGATTCCTCCTGGGGCCCAGCCGATTGTCAGCATTCTTACCCCAGACGGTGATCAGTACGAGGAGGATCTGTCAGCTGGAGGCGACATCCGGGAATTCGCGATCTTGGAGGGCGGGGCACTCGGACGAGATGCTGGACCCGCCGGAGCCGATCATGTGCACAGGTTTCGGAATGTGCCTTTGCCTGCGGCCTTGCAGGGACTTCGAGACGCTGCTGCAGCTCGCCTTGGCCTGCCATTGCGCCCAGGCTTCGCGGTGAACGTAGTCGGCCGTGCTGGTTTCGCTGGAATGCCGATGCCCGCTGCTGGAGCTGTCGGGGCCGTCGGAGGCGGTGCTGCCGGGGGTGCGGCTGGCCTAGCCGCAGCCCTGGCCGTGCCCGCGCCCGCAGCGCCTGGAGGAGCGCTTGTGGCAGGCGGTGGAACAGGTGGCGCGGCCGACGGCCTAGCACTGGGTGGAGGGCTCGTCCCCGTGGCCGCGTTGGCCGCCGGGGGAGCTGCCCTTGCGGGGCGGGGGAGGGCCTGCTGCCTCCTGCCGTGGCGCCACCGGCGCCGGCAGCAGCCGTGGCTCCGGGCCTGGCCCCCGCGGGCGCCGCGGGCCATGTGGGTCTCGCGGGCGCCCCCGCGGTGGCGGCCCCGGCTCTGTCCCCGGCGCCAGCCGCCGCCGCCGCGGCCCCGCTCCCTTGTGCTGCACCTGCTCCCGCTGCTCCTCATTATCAGCGATGTGCGCGTGCAGGCCGTGTCGCTTGACGTGCAGGGCAACCGCCACCGTTCCTTCCGCGACGCCATTCTGATGATGCGAGAGGACGCGTGGCTGGACTGGCCAATCCGAGGCCCACGGACCGTCCGATGGGTGCTGAAGTTCATGGAACAAAATGGAGGAAGCCCCATGGGCCGCCATATGCGATTTCGGACCGAAGCCAAGTTGTCGTCGTCCGACGTGGGGGTTGACGAACATGAGAGAGCATGTCGGATGTTGGAGCAGATGGTATTCTACGATCAGCTCATGGTCACCAACCTGGCGTGTGCCGAATCGTTGTGCCGTGTGATTCAAGTGCAGGAAGAACGATACCGTGACAGGCTGGCTGGGGGGTCGGACAGTGTGGCCGACAACCATCTGTACATGGGGACGGACATGGTTCGAGGATGTGTGTGCGTGAGCCCCCAGCTTGCCGATTCCGTGAAGGATCAACTCTCGAAGGAGTACCAGATCTCGAAGGAGCGCCGCAAGGCGCGAGAGGAGCGGGCCCTGGCCAAGAAAGGCGCCAAGAAAGGCGGCAAGGATGGTTCAGGGCCCGGCGATGGGACGTGAGCTACCCCCGAGCCCAGGAGATGGGGACCCGGGCTCGAGCGACTTTTTGAATCCCCGTTCTGGTGGCAGCTACCGGCAGAGAGACGTTTTCCCGCTCCCTCTCCTCGGCCCTCGCTCCGATGCTCCAGCGAGTGTCTGCAGGGCCGTGCGCCGTCGCCGCCTTCGCCTCCAGCATTCAGTCAATTGGGCCAATGATGCTGTGAAGGCCCTCGATCAGATGTCAGGATATAAGGAGGCTGCGCCAGCCCCCGCTTCTCTTGCTCAGAAAAGAGTACTCGATCGCTTCAGCGATTGCTACTGTCGTCTGGGCCCTCCGCCCAGCGAGGCGGGATTCGCTCAGGGAGCCCTCGGCGAGCTTCTGAGCAACCATTCTTTGTACGGGGATGTGGGCCCCACTCGTCCTTATTCGCGTGACCTCGTTGCGTGGCCTGATGAGGGCGCGGTCCCTGTTGACCTTCATCGTTTGCTCTCACAGGCCGATTCCTCTTGGCTTAAGGATTGGAGATCGCACTTGCTGAGGCCAGCAACTGAGGCCCAGGTTTTGGCGCAGGAGGCCTGTCCCAAAGGAGCCTATATCGACCCTATCCTCTCCCACTCCCCCTCCACGTACGCTGACTTTCTGGCCTGTCTGGCCCGGCGCGGGATGTTAAGCTTTCAGCCTGCGCGGGGCAGGAAGGGCCTCCTTGGAGTATTCTGTGCGGCCAAGAAGTCTGATCAACTACGTCTCATTTTCGACACTAGAGTTGCCAATTGTTATTTCAACGCCCCCCCCCCCTCCACTCGACTCCCCTCGGCTTCCGCCTTCTCTGCCATCGAATCGAGAGGCGGCCCTTGTCTTGCTGCTTCAGGTGACGTTCGGCGTGCCTACTATCACGCGCGGTTTCCCGCTGACATGATAGAATGGTTTTCTTTGCCGCCCATCGATTCGGGTTTACTCATGTCTTTTGGACTGGAGGGTGTTCCTCAGATGGCGGGACAGGCCCTCCTTCCGTGCATAGCTGTGATGCCTATGGGTTTCTCCTGGGCCCTTCATTTTTGTCAGGCTGCGACGATGCGAAACGCTATCCAAGAGGCGGGCTTCAGCCCGAGTCGCGTCATATCTGACGGTGAGCCCGGCGTCGCGTTTCGGACAGCCGATGAAACGGCTGCTGCGGGCTACGTTGATAACTTTCTCGTGCTGGGCCAGTCTCAGAAAAAATGTGAAGGCTGCTTTTGACCAGATTAGCGCTAGGCTCAGATCTGTTGGTCTCCTCGTGCATGAAGTTTGTGAGCCGTCTAGGGATTCGACCTTTCTCGGGCTCTCCCTCGTCGCCGGCCGCTGGCTGTCTGTGAAGCCTCGGAATCTCTGGCGCCTGCGCTTCGCCATTGAGCGCCTGTTGGCCAGGGGTTCCGCCAGCGGTGTCTTGCTCAGAGTTATTGTTGGCCATATCACGTGGTCCTCGATGGTCCGTCGTGAAGCCTTGGCCATCTTGAATGCGTGCTACGCGCCCATTGAGACGGCAAAGGATGTGGTGACCCCCCTCTGGCCTCAGGTGGCACTAGAGTTTCGTAGGATTGTTACTATTCTCCCTCTCCTCACAACGGACATGTGTGCAGGGTGGCATCCGCAGATCTGTGCCTCGGACGCTTCAGAGTTCGGTCTTGGAGTTTGCCATCGGTCACTTTCTGAGGATCCAGTTGCTGAGATCGGCCGAGTAAGCGAGAGAGTGAGATATCGCGTGGAGGGCGCGGAGAAGGCTCGCCTCAACGCATTTCGGGAGGTCAGGGACTTCGAGGACTCTCGGGGCGTCGTCTACGCGGAGGCTGCCGCCCACCCGCCGGACTACATGCCCCTCGGGTTCATGGACGTGGACCCCCTGCTCTTCGAGGAGATCCCCGCGGACCTCATGAGGCCCCAGGATTGGAAGGGTGTCTTGGCCGTTCGGGTGGGCTACGACGCCGATATCATGCAGTTAGAGGGTGAGGCCCTCGCGTTGGCCTACAAGCACATCCTGCGCGCTGGTGCTGCCGTGGGGCGGCGAGTGCTTGCCCTCGTCGATAACATGTGTCTGGCGTTGGCTCGCTGCCAGGGCCGAGCGAAATCAGTTCACCTTCCGTCTGTCATGTTGAAGTTGGCCTCGTTGTCACTGGCTTCAGGATGCCGTCTGCACGTTCGTTGGGTCCCCAGTGAGAGGAACCCGTCGGATCGCCTCTCCCGTGGCCATCTCGGATGGTTCTCAGGCTTCCGCTCGGCGCGCCGCCTGCCGCCTGCGGGCGACGCCGCGGGCCGCGCCAGGAATGGGGAAGGAGCGGGCCAGAGCACAGCGCGAGACGCGTGCTGCCACCGCCCAGCGCCTGACCGCACAGCGGGAGCCATTGGGATCTCTCACGGGTCTCGTGCAGATTGCGATCCGCCTGGCGACGGAGGTTCTCTACAAGAAAAATGCGACAGCCTTCCTGGACCTGTGCACCAAGCGGGGCCTGGACTGGCACGACGTCGTGGAGATGGACGCGGCCCCAGCCCAGCACATGGTCGATTGCTCTCACCTCAACGCGTCGTCCGACCACGGCGCGCAGCGGCTGGGCGGCCTCGTGCATCTCTACCCGAGTTTGCAGGGGCAGTGGGGGCTGCAGTGGCCGAGGGCTGCTCGCGCCTCGATCCCTTGGAAGCGGAGGGTGCCTGTGGGGGCCCGGCTGCCATCGCCGAAGGCGGTAGCCATTGCCATGTGCTTGTTGCTGGTGGAGGCGGGTGTGCCCTGGATGGCCGTCTGGGTCGCGCTGCCGCCCGTTGCCTACCTGAGGCCCGGCGAGACGTTCAAGTGCCTGTGGTCGTTCGCGGTCGAGGCCTTGAGGCCGAAGTACAGCCGCTGCTCAAGCCTCCTGTCCTTCCCCCAGGTCTCGGACCACCTGTGCGGCCTCCGCCACGGGGGCGCGTTGGACGGCTCGGTCAGTCGCCGAAGGAACGCGTTCCAGGGGGGGCTTCAAGGCAGGTTGGCCTCCGTGAAGAGTTTAGAACTGTACGGCAAGGAGACAAAGCTGCTGCCGGAGATCCGCTCTGCGCACGGCGGCGTATTTCGCCCCGGACATCTCAAGTTGGAGCATTTCTGGGCGGTGGTCATGACAGACGGGACCCTGGAGGCCAGCATCGGTCACCTCACCCCAGCGACGTTCGTGCTGGCGGCGCGAGCTGCCCGAAGGCTGCGCCCATCAGGCGATCACAGAAGCCACCAGTGAGACCCTCCTACTCCCTCAGTGCCTCTGAAATTCGCGCCCACCTGCAGTGCCGTTTTAAGGAGGAGTTACGTAGGGGAAAGGGGTCCCATAATCCGTCTCAGTATCGTTTGTTTCTTGAGCTGTTTGCCGGGTCCGGGTCCCTTTCGAAGGCCCTTCGGGGCCTGGGCGCTTCTGCCTTGGACTTGGATTCTAAAAAATTCGGCTGGTGAGGACCACCTGCACCCTACATTCATCAAGCTCGTTCGTGGGTGGATCTCTAGTGGATGTGTCTCGGGGGTGTTCTTGGGAACCCCTTGCACGTCTTGGAGCAGGGCCCTCCGTCATCCACTTCGCTCGCGCGACCACCCAATGGGGATCCTCGCCGCTTTACTCTCACGGGCCGAGCAAGGACGGCTGGCGGCAGGGAATGCCACTTTCACTTTCAGTTGCCGAGTAGTTGATTTATGCATCAAGTGCGGTGTTCCAGTATATATCGAGAACCCAGCCCTGTCCCAGATGTGGTCTGCGCCCCGCATGCTACAGCTGTGCCAAAAACCTATGCATCAGTCAGTTGTTTTCCACATGTGTCAGTATGGCACCCGATGGATGAAGCCCACTCGTATCTCTGCCTGGCTTTCTCCCTCTCTCCACTCTCTCCTGAAGAAATGCAATTGTCGCCACGGCCTGTGCAGTAGGACCCAGAAGCCACACATTGTCTTGACGGGAAAGGTTCCTGGCGGCAAAAACTGGACCGCCTTAGCTGCCTCGTATCCGCCGAGATTGGCTCAGTCCGTTGCGAAGTTCATGATCCATGGGTCAATGCGAATCGCTATTCGTCGTTTGTGGGCCCTCGCCTCTGGACTCGATGTCTAGTTGCCTGGCAGGTAGCAGCGTCGTGTACTTCCCTGATGGTCGGGTTGCCGCTGGTGCCGATCCTCTTGGGGGGTGCTGACACTGTTGCCTGTTGGTGCGTCTTGGGGGCTTTGGGCGACCACTGTGTTTCGTTTTAAGTTTGACTTTTTGGTTCGGCCTTGGTGGCCCAGTCATTCCTGCGGGATTCGGGGGATCTCCTTTGCTGTCATCTGGCCTGTGATCCCGTGTCTCGCCCTTGGCCTTGGGGCCCGGGATGGATGGCTGATGTCGCCTGCGGTCGGAGTTCTCATAACATTGTCTGGCATCCATCGTCCGCCTGGTTGTGCTGGTTGATTTTAGATCTGTAAGCACAGGAGGGTATGGCCGCAAGGATGCCGCATGTGAGAATTCACAGTCCCGTGTGCTATCCGTGGCACGCGGCTCAAGCTCTCCCTCCCGCCCTCCCTGTCGTTTGCATCCTTTGTGCTGCACTGTCTGGGGATCTCCTTTGCTGTCATCTGGCCTGTGATCCCGTGTCTCGCCCTTGGCCTTGGGGCCAGGGATGGATGGCTGATGTCGCCTGCGGTCGGAGTTCTCATAAAATTGTCTGGCATCCATCGTCCGCCTGGTTGTGCTAATGATAATTATACAGGCACCGCGCGATCTGGGGCCCGCTTTTCTCTGTATTCGTATACAAACCTCCCCCCCCCCGCGCACCTGACTTTCGTCCCTGGGGCCGTCGGGCCCTTGTCAGCGTTTCGAAAATTCTCCAGGCCCCCCAGGGGCCTTCAGGACAACCCCAGGGGATGCCAAGAGGCCGCCAAGACGGAACAACGTGGCCAAATAGGTTCCTAGATGGCCTCAAGGCGGCCAGAAGAGATCCCAAGGACCGCGCGAACGTGGGCCCGCGAAAAGGCCTCGGAAGGCAACTCTTGAATGTTGTGGATGGCCCCAATCGACCCACATCAGTCACACACACACACACACACACCGAAGGGAAACCATGCGTGTTTGAAGATCTCGCTGTTTCGTTTCCGATGGGTTTCTGAGTCTTCTGGATGGTCGCTAAATTGCTCAAGCCTGCCCCTAGAGGAGCCCCACAAGGCCATAAGACGGCCCTAAAGTCCCTTATGACCGCCCCAGTGATCTCCCAGACTGCCCCCCACACGGTTTCTGAAAGCGTCAGACGGACCAAGAGCGCTCCAGAGGAGCCCGAACGCGCCCCAAGAAGGTCCACAAGAAACCCTGGGGCCCTTCAAAATGGCCTAGAGACGGCCCAAGATGGCTTCAAGAGGGCCCTCGAGGCCGCCAAGACAGGACAGCTCATGATGGCCCTCAGACGGCCACAAGAGGCCTCCTCACGGCCTCCAGGAATCCCGTGCCTTTCCAAACGGGTGGACATGTATTGGGTTTCTGAATACCTCGCCTCTTCTTTCCCGATGGGCCTCTGAGGTCTCAGGGTGGCCCAATAATGGCACCATTGGAACCCGAGAGCCGGACGGACGCAGGAGATAGGAGAAAGGAGGGAGAAGGAAGGGACACCGGATGAGACGGAACCAAGATTGGGGAGGGCGAGTATGGGGAGGAGTGTGCAAAAATGTTTCAAACGGTTTGAAGCATACCTCGTAGAGCCCTTCGGCATCGATGGGCTAGACGAATTCCGGCGCGGAGTGGAGCTAGTTGGCCCACCCGGCCCGGGCGGACAATGTGGTAATGTGGGGCCGGTATTTTGGAGATTGTGTGAGATTTGACAGTTCGTTTTGGGAACCCAGATTTTTCTCACGTGGAGTGGGTTGTGCCGCGTCTGTCTGTCA